AGAAGAAGAAGAAGAAGAAGAAGAAGAAGCTTCCTCGTTATCGCTCCACGTTTCCTTTCCACAACCTCTTTACCAGATAGTCACTGCCATCTCCTTATCTGACTAATGTGGAACCTGAGACTGAAGGTTAAGTCACTTGCTCCAAATCACACAGCAAGAAGGGACAGAGTGAGGGACTTGGATCCTGGCCAGCTTCACCCCATAGCCAGCATCCGCAACCACAGTGGCCATAGTTCTTGGCCTCAGTCTCCATCGGGACCGTCAGAGGCCTCGTTCCACCCCAGAGGTGCGGGGTCAGAATCTCCAGGAAGGAGGCCCAGGAATCCAGCTTTTAAAAGTGGCTTGTGGGCGTTCTGCAGGGCAGCTGGCACTGAGGGGCATTGCACCGTGCCGGAAGGCCTTCTGCACATTCATCATCCCCCTAAATGTAGCACCCCTCCAAGCAAAAACTTGCTCACATCTCCGCTCGCTCAAATGCCCACAGACACGCCTTCACTCTCTCCACACCTTCCTCTGAAGACACACACTCCCAGGCAAAGTCACACCCTCCTTGCTGTCCTTGCTCCATATCTTCTCTGATTCTCCCTGGTTCCCTGTCCTGGCAACTCTGCTCCCCAAACACAGGCATGGGGAGCCTTGCAGGGGAGGGTGATGCAAGCGATGTGAGCGTGGAAGGGAATTCCCACTGACTTCCTTGCATGGGGTGCAGCCCCAGGTGAACAAGGAAAGTGAAGTTGTGGCACCTTCGTGGGAGGAGTGGGAACACGTGGCAGGGTGTTCCACGCTTGTCTCTGGAGCTCCGCCACGTGGCGGACCCGGTCCCCTCGCCCTCAGCCTTCCTGCATCTCTGAGTCTAAGGACCCTGGAGACTGCCCACACCCTTTGCCTCAGATGATGGGGTCCCAGCATTGAACTCTCCCTGAGCCTGGGGCAATGCTGAGGGGCCCAGATCCCTCTCTTCTGCTGTCCCTGGGGTGGGTGTCTCCTGCTCTGTCAGCGGCGGGGGTTCCCCAACCCAGTAGTTCCTCCAGACCAGGTGGGCCCTGGCACAGGCAGCTAGGCTTGGGGGTGGGGGCTGGGAGGCTCCTCCTACCCTCTGGGTCATTTCTATTTCCCAGCAGCCTCATTGACTTGGGTGCAGGATTGGGAGGCCGTGAGGGCATAATGAGAACATCTGAAAGTATGCCAGTGGAGTCCTTCCCTGGTGAGACAAGAACCTAGGATGTGCAGGCTGCAGCCTTGCAGGAAGCGGGTGGGATGGAGTCTGTGGTGGCTAGATCTCCAGAAGGACGGTGAAGGGCGGCACGCCCTCTCCCATGGAGGTCTTTAAGGAGAAAAGAACTGTCTATTGATCTGGGCTGGCGGTCAGGGCAGAGGGGCAAGGCAGTGGTCCCAGGGGGCCCCTCAGAGTAGCAGCAGTCGGCGGGAGCACGCCCTCCCTCCAGCTATCAGATAGGCACATTCTCCAGGGCCCAGCTACCTGGGCCTCTCTGTGGGGCCTGCACTGCCCACTTAGCCACGCATTCCTCCTGCTGCCAGAGCACCCATGGCAAGAGAGTCTTTACTTGGGCCCCGCTGCCTTTTGCCTGGGCCACCCCGTGGGCCCCGCTGCCTTTTGCCTGGGCCACCCCGTGCTCTGCCTCTGCTCTTCCCAGATCCTATTCCACAGGTACTCCCTCTGCCAGGCTGCAGCGCTGCCCTGAAGAACCCTTGCAGAGTCTTGTGGTATTGATCCCTGCGCCCCCCTCCCTGCATGGCAGGGACCCTGGATCAGTACTATCCAATAGAGCTTTCTGTGACCATGGAAATGTTCTGTACTCTGTGCTGTCTGTCCCATGTGGCTATTAGCGCTTGAAACCTGGCTAGTATGACTGAGGAACTGATTTTAAACTTTAATTTATCTTAGTTTTAATCGTCCCTTGGCTACATACTGGACAGAGCTGCCTTAGAGGCTTCAATTCTGGGCTGATATTGTAGAGATCTGGTTGTACCAATAATCTTGCTGGGTGACCCAGGGCAAGCCACTCACCCTCTCTGATCATGTTTCTTTCATCTATAATATGGCAAAGACTCAGTCCCTTTCCTAACCTCAAAGTGGGGGTAAGATCCACAAATGGGAAAGTTTTGGCCAGGAAATGGCCTCAGAAACGTAAGTGCTACAGCAAAGCAGTCAATAATTTCTTCAGTCATCACCAAAATAATAACAATGCTATAACAATATAACCATCCTTGCTGGGCTTCAGAGACCAGATGAACCCTCTTACCTGGAGAGGAGACAAGGGCCACAGCCACCAGCAGCAGCAGGTGTGACTTCCTCCTGGGGAGTGTCCCCATGGCGGGTGTTCTGGGCAGAAGTGGAGAGCAGAGGAACAGGGCCTCAGCCCAGCACGGGGACAGTCCAGGGGGTGGTTGAGAAGGACCTAGGGAGGCAGGACAGGGGAGGACCCTGAGCTGAGGATCGTCCTTTCCAGCTCCAGGCATATCTGGGTCTTGCCTGGGAGAGAGCTGGAAAAGCACTCAGCCTTCCCAGGGCCCCAGGGGAAGGGGCGTGGCTACTACCAAGGAGCTCTTCCCCAGGCTGAACGGCTCCTACAGGCCCCCTGGGAGTCTGGCTCTGCCCTGCACCCCACCCCCTACCCTTCCACCTAGCAGCCAGCAGGGTGCTGCTGGGGAAGTGAAGCAGTGACTAATTGGGAGGCCAGGACCACCTGCCCGCTCACCCATAATAGCTCTTGGTGTGGGTCTGGAAGAGAACAGGGCCTGAGCCTCGGTTTGGGGAACTAGTAACATCTTCCTCTAGCAGTGGGGGCCCACTCCCCCTGCCCCTCCCAGACAGAACTTCGGGGCTGAAAAAGGAGGCTCCTTCTTGCACAGCGATGAGCAGACTTGGTTAAATCTTAGAAGCTCTGGAGAACCTGTTCCTTGGGGTGGGGGGCAATGACAGCAACTCAGCGCCCCCTCCATCAGTCTGAGAGATGGAGGTCTCATCTTTAGAAGCAAGGGCAGGACCAGCTTTTCCATCTACTCCCCATCTCCGGGGGACTTTCTGAATTCTGGGAGGAGTGCGGCATCTTAGGGGCCTGCTTTTTGGTGATTTGGGTGACCCTGGGTCCCAAGGCTCCCTGCCAGAGCTGCCACAGGGAGCCAGGTAACTCAGCTGCAGATCCTGCTTCTCTGCCCTGCCTGCCCGCTTTGCAGACACCTAAGAGCAGGGAGACGGGGTCTGGGGCCAGGCTGGGCGAGCCTGGCTGGGCGCTCTTCCGCTAACTGGCTGCAAGGCCCATGCCGTCTCTGGGTGTCAGTGTTCTCGTCTGTAGAACGGGTGGTCCCTGACGTCCCTTCCAGCCCTGAGACTGTGATGCTCCCAGAGAGTGCAGGACTTCCGAGGGCCTGGGAACGCTGATCCTTGGATGGGGGTAGGGAAGGGGAGAAGACAGGCTACAGACGACTTAAGACTCTGCCTGGGGTCAGTGGAGGGTCTGAACACCAATGCAAGCTTGGGATTCCCTATCTCATTTTGCGCTTTATTGTGTTGGAAAGAAAGTCCCCCAAACCTTTTAAACCTCAACATTTGATTATCCCACAGCCTTTTCCTGCCTCCTCAAAAGGCACCTGAAGAAGCTAGGCCGAAGGAGGGGAACTGGCCTGAGAGCCTCTCATAGAAGATGTAGGGTGTTGAGTGGGGTGAGGGTGAGGGGATGTTTAAACAGATAGCACTCCCTCCCCCACCCCAACTCATATCCACTTTCCTTTGTCAGGACTACCTGCCCCTCCATGTTCTTGCCACTTTCAGTTCCAGACTTGAACCCAGAAATTTGGCACTTCCAGTCCTTGTGACTTTCCCCAACACCCCCATCTCTGTGCCTTTACTCAGGTGTCTCCGCACCCTTGTAATGCCCTTCCTAGACAAGGCACACTTGTCCCGCACGGCCCCATTCACATCTCACCCCCTCCAGGTAGCCTCTAAGGTGCCCCAGGTGCACACAGTTAGAATTCAGCTCTGTTCTTGACTACATCTGTGGTGCCCTGCCCACAGAGGCGCGTCTGCCTCCAAAGAAGGCTGTGAGGTCCCCAAGGGGGGGAGACCATGTCTCTTTCATCTTGGTTATCACCTGTGCCTGGCACAGTACCTGGCATGTGATAGGTGTTACTTTTGTGGCACATTTAACTGTTTGAGGACAGCTGTGTCACGTGCCTCCAGGAGCCAGTGGACCCACCCTGCCACACTCACACTCACACAGTGGCACTCAATAGACAGCTGGCCGGCCTTCAGTGCTCCCTGGGGCAACCCCAGGGCAAACTCACACACACTCTTCTCACCCTCACACGCTCTCTCATACGCTTTTATACACACACTCTCACACATTCTCACACACACACTCCCTCTCTCACACTCACCTTTACACACTCACTCTTTCGCACACATTCTCATACACACTCAGGTCTCTAGGGTCTGCAAAGCACTCAGTCATGGGAGAATCTGGAAGTATGGCCCTGGATGTGACACGAAGGCAGGGTACTCTCATCATAGGGGCCCTGGGGCTCTGCGAACCGTCTCAGGCTTTGACAGGGGTCATCTCCTAACAGCTTTGGGAGCGTGGACAGGTTATTCCCTTTGGTGGAGCCTCAGTTTTCTCACCTGCAAAGTGGAGATCATGGCACTTACTTTGCAGAGGTATTCTGAATGCTCCATGAGGTACTGGAGTACCCTACAGTGGAAGTCTTGGGGTCATGGTGGGGAGGGGACAGAGCGAGGATGGGGCTCCAGACCACTTCCCCACATCAGCCAGAGCAGCTCTGCTTACATCTTGCTTTATCTACTGGATTTCCCTAAGAGGTTCCCTCTAAACAAAGGGTGCCACAGCTCCAAAAAGTTTGAAAACGCCCCCTTGGGGTTGGTGTGCCACATCCCAGAGTCTCTGGCACAGGGAACGTGCTCAATCATCATTTGCTTCCGGCCCTTTGTCCGCCTGCCAGTCCTGGGAGCTTAGCGAAGGGGCAGGGTGCCGGCTCGGGGAGGAGCTTGGGATGGAGGCACTTATCCTGAGTGCGCCAGAGCAAAGCACAGACAGATGACCTGGGGCTGGAGACTCTGGGCAGGAGTCTGCTGCTGCTCCCGAGTGCTGGCTAGAGCGGGGTGGGTGTGCGCATGCATGCACGCGCATGCATGTGATTTTTGTGTGTGTCTGTGTGTCTATATATCCCTGTATATGTGTGAGGTCTGGCCTTTGTGTCTCTATGTATATGCATGTGTGTCTGTGTGTCTGTCTATGTCTGGTCTTTGTACGTGCGTCTGCGTGTGTGTGTGTGTGTGTGTGTGTGTGTGTGTGTGTGTCCCTGCCTCTCACAGGGCATGAAGGCCCAGCCCCTGCTTTGTTTCCCTGTGACCCAGCAGAAAGCCTGGCTCACTCATCTCTACATCACAGTGGTCAGAATTATGTTTTTTCACTTCACTTACCATAGGTAATTACCATACTTCCTGGAGAACCCACTGTTCCTCCTAAAGTTTAACTTAACCCATACTTTTATCAGTCACCTCTGGGCTCGCGGGCCCAGGGCATCCCCAGGGGACAGACCTGAAGCCTCAGAGGAAACATGGGTGCAGGAGGGGTTGGGGGAGGGGCTGGGACCCAGGAGAACCTGGAGTTGCCCTTGGGGAGCATTAGAGATGGGTCAGCCCAATCAGATGTACACTGAGCTCCACTGTGTGCCAAGACCTTGTGTGTGTGTGTGCACAAGGCCTTGGCACACAGTGGAGCTCAGTGTACACACACACGCACACACACGCGCGCGCACACACACACACACACACATGGAGTCGGAGTCAGAGGTTGGAGCTTATTGCTTCCCTGCAGGTGAGGCAATTGGTGTCCAGTCTGGCCCTGCGTCCATTTTCATTCCAGTATTTATTACTATGTGCCAGGCATTGGGCTGAGCACTGGGAGACAGTCATGAAAACTGCCTCTTTGGAGCGCCCTGACCAACTGAGTGCCACCGAGGATGTGCTCACGCGTGGCATGGGCCGGTCATCTCCTCATACCGCCTGCCCTGTGACAGATTCTAGAATGCTCAGGATGGAGGCGGCCTTTTTGTTGGGAGCAAGGTTGGAGTGGAGCTATGCCAGGCCCAGAGCTGGCCCTGTGAGCCCTGAGCCAGCCAAGCCTGGCCCAGGCCAGCTGCACTGGTACAGGGGTACAGGCGCAGGCTGGCACAGGCGGGTGCAGGCTGTCACCATCGGGGGCTGGTCCTGTGAGGCACCCACACATGGGGATGCCGGCTGCCTGGGGTTCAGAGGCTCCGGGGGAAAGCTGGCTCAGTTGCTGGGCCCAGAAGACAAAGGGCCTGGGAAACGACTGGGAGAGGAAAGGCTGAGAGCTGGGCTCCAGCACACGACAGGGTTTGCTGGGCTCAGTGCCCCTGCATAGAGCAGTCGGAAAGTGAAAGACACACTCTGCCCAAATGCTACTGCTTGGGCCACCCAGCTCCTGGCCCTGAACCTGTCTCCTCCCATCCCCCAGGGGAGATGTGAACACCGAGGGCAGCTTTCGGATGGGTTGCGGTAGAAAAACGGGGGAGTTTGGAGTCCAGTTGAGGGCAAAGTGATTTATTATGAGCCGACAAGTACTGGAGGAGCCCCTCAGGTCCTCACCATCTTCCATCCTGCAGCATAGACGCCGGTTAATAGGGCAGACTCTCAATCAACAGGCCTCTCAAACCAGCCGGCCTGGCGCTTCCTAGCTAGTATAACTCTAGTGTAACTAACCAGTGTAATTCTAGTTAATAGGTTCATGACTTAACCTCTCTGAGCCTCAGTCTCCCATCTGCAAAATGGGGATGAGAAGGGTCGTAGCCACCTCGGGGGACTCTTGTGAGGTCAGCACCATTCTTGGCCCTCAGTTAGCATGTGGGGAAGATCAGGTCTCCTTCCTGACCATCCTCACAGCCCTTGTCCACAGGCCCAGCACACTGAGGGACACAGACCTGTCCACAGACACTGCGCTTGGCTGAGTCAGGCTCACTTCTAGAGTCACGACATTCGAGCTACACTCGCACGTGTTTAGGATACTGACAGATTCCCACAGTCTCCCTGGGCAGGTGCTCGCCTTCTCTATGCCCCACAGGTACAGTGGGCCCAGGCAAGCCCCAGCAAACACACCACCCCGGATGAGGGCACAAGGACACACAGGGTCACACCCAGATGCCATGTGTTCAGGAGAGCACTTGGCTAGGACTCGCACGTGGGCACTCCCAAGCAGTCCTCCTCTGCCATCCCAGCCTGTGGGCATCTAAGATGGGAAGGGGACTCTGCCTAGAAGGGAACTGCCATCTGGGACAGGATCACTGTCCTCCAGAAACGTGTGAACCACTCCACATCCCTCTGGCAGGACAGGGCTCTGTGGTGGCCTGGTGGGGCCACCCGTCAGGTGGGGTCGGGGTTTGTAGGAAGAGGACTGTGGTTGAGAGACCCCAGTGGGCTGGTGTCCTGAGCGGGAGGAGGTCCTGGGCGTAGATTTGGGTGGGATGGGGACCTCCTTTGTCCCCATGGGGACAGGGACTGGATGGGGACAGGGGAGCTGTGCAGCTAGCTGAGTCTCTACTCAGCCCCCTTCGTGCGTTCCCTCCCTCTCTGCCCCCAGATTTTTCTGCAGCCTCTTTGTATTGGCAGTTGGCTCCCTGAGGCCCCAGCCCTGGCACTGCTGTGCCCTCTGGGGAACACTGTGGCTCCAGCCTCAAGGATTTCTGTGAGCTCTCAGCCTTGGGCCTGAGGGAATCTGACCCTTGATCTGCCGTCTGGAGCCTCGAGCCCTTCTGCGTCTGCCCTCTCCACCGGAGAGACCCTCAGTGGGAAGTGGACGGAGGGGAGAGCCTCGCATCCTGAGGACCTGGGATAGGGGTGAGCACGTTCAGACCCAGGGTCCTACTCTCCTGTGCGTGGTACGGGGGCAGAAGGCGCCAGGGCTTTGGAAGGAGGGACCGTTTTTGAGACATCAGAAGTAAGAACAATTGTTTCAGTTTGGCTCTGAAGAACCAAAATAGGAAGAAACAAACAGAGCAATTTTGCATGTTTTCTCACCCCCGTGGAGAGGAGACTCTCCCCCAATTACCAGATAGTTTCCTGCTGGATCGTTCAGAGCCAAGCCTGGTGGGGGTGGGTTTCCATCAGCTCCTCCCATCAGGCCAGTTTCTGCTCTGGGGCCCAAGGGAACTGCATCTCTTGGGCTGCACTGCAAGAAGGCCGCCTTTCAGCCAGACACAGGATGGGGTAGCTTCTTGGTATGTGAGGCTGGTAGACATTGAGAGGATTTGGTTGGGGCTAGAGGAGGCAGCAGGTTTCATCTCATGGGTGCCCTGTGTGGAAGAGGGACCTGAGGCTCATTAGATGAGAAGCATACTGAGGTGTGCT